ACCCCTTCCCTTCGGTCATCTTTTCCCCTGTCTCAGACCAGCCTGCTTCTTTACACCATAAAAGTCCCTACCCCCTGACCTGGTGAGTTGTCCTAGGTGACCTCTGGGATGTCCTTTCTGCTCCACTCTGCTGGTGTCCTTTTGGGATTGGGGTGGGTTGTCTGACCTCCATTGTCTAGATGGAGCTGATGTACACTTCTCAGTGGCTTCTCTGACCTTCACGGGGAGAAAACAGGTTTGAGGGCTTAGCCACCTGCTTGGTACCGGCTCAGGCAGTGGCATCTTCATTTTCTGCAGTGTGAGGCTGAGAAGGGATGATGTTCAGATCCCAGGGCCAGACGGGGACAACGATGCTTAGCTTTTTCAAAGAGCAGTGATGAGGACCAACCAGCAAGACAACTCAGTGTGTGAAGTGCTTGACACACAAGCCTAGTGACCTGAGTTCAAGCCCCAGGACCCACAGAAAGAGAACCAGCACCCAGAAGTTGTCCTTTGTGGTGATCGTATATGCACGTGCACACACGCACACACAATAAGAAGAAGAAGATTATATTAATTTTTTAAAAGAATAAACTGAGCAGTGGTGGTGCATGCCTTTAGAGCTGGGTACTAAGAACTGAGGTCACCCAACTCGAACTCAGGGCTGGAGACGTGCCAACTTCTCAGCTGGCGCTGCCCTAAGAAGAGGAAGAGAAGGACACCCATGGGTGCTCCATGTTGGGTCCTTCCACCTGAATTCTCTAAGCTGCCACCCACTGCTTCTGGGCATCCACCAGGAGGCACAGGGCCATGTTCCACTGAGCCCAGCCCTAGGTCCCTCGGCCTGCAGGTCTTGACATCTCAGCAGCCTTACAGAGAACCTTCGTGGGGTGATGTTTCTTTCTCGTCCTTTTCTGGTTTTTCAAGGCAGGGTTTCTGTGTGTAGCCCTGGCTCTCCTGGAGCTTGCTTTGTAGACCAATCTGGTCTTGATCTTAGAGATCTGCCTGCCTCTGCCTCTTGAGTGCTGGGATTAAAGCCACATACCACCACCAAAAAAAAAAAAAAAGTCCCTACCCCCATCCTCAGGTTACAGAATTGAGACTTGGGTCTTCTGTGTCCTCCATCTTTGCCTCACAAAAAGATTCTCTACTGTAAAAACCACTTTCAGTGACGGTCACACGCTAGTGTACAAATCAGGCCTAGATCGGTAGGAACAGCTTCTGTCTTGTTATACCTGAGTGGTATCCTTTTATGATAAGCGACGTCCTGAGAACCAGGAGAGGGGAGGGGAGGGGCTTGTTGAGGTGACAACCTGGGGTTTGGGATTAAAGCTGAAGTAGGGAGAGGCAGGTGACTGTGGGACTGGCCCATTCCCTGAGGGCTCTTCAACCTTGGGCAGTAACTGTCAGAACCGCACTCAATTATAAAACACCATCTGTAGACAACAGGAACTCGCCTGGTATGAAAATCCTACACTTCTGCTGAGAGGTGAGACACAAGTTACCCCTTGCTTTTCTAAGACTGCCACTTTGCTTTGGAAATCCAAGCGCGACCCCCTCCTTCGAGCCCACTGAAGACCTCCCAGATCTCCCAGCAGAGTATCTGCTGTGGCATTGTCTGGGGTGTATCTGTTGATACCCACCAATGGAGACCGGAGCCAACACTTAGAAAACAAGCAGGACAGACAGACAGATCCAGGATTGGTGCAGAACTTCCAAAGGCAAAATTCCAAAGTGCTTCACGCATTGGCTGCTCCTTCCAGTATCCCCCCAAGTCTTTCAGGAAAGCGTCTAGAGGCCACGTGAACGAGTGGGCGCGTAACTTAGGGTGGGCCCCACAGACACTCGGCATCCGTTAAGAGCTGTGTAGACTCCTGGAGGATGCTGACGCAGATACACCGCTTCTCTGGTCTGAATGAATGCAACTGGCCACCACCCAGGCGGCTCCTCTAAAAGCTGCGGGGGGGGGGGGGGGGGGGGGGGGGGAGAGGGAGAGAGAGAGAGAGAGAGAGAGAGAGAGAGAGAGAGAGAGAGAGAGAGAGAGAGAGAGAGAGAGGCAGAGGAGGTATATTATATTACCACTCACTCACGCTACTGGGGTTTGCCTGGCTCCTGACCGTGCAAGCTCAGCCTGGTCCCCAGGAGGCCAGGCCCTGCCGCTGGGGCTGCAGAAGAATGAGTGTGAGTGTGTCAGACAGCGAGCGGTTCTCAGCCTTCCTAACGCTACAACCCTTCACTACAGCTCCTCATGCTGTGCTGACCTCCAACCATACATTATCTTGCTGCTCCTTCGTAACTGTAATATTGCTAGTTATGAATCATAATGTAAATATCTGATATGCAGGATATCTGATACGTGACCCCCAAGGGGGTCTTGACCCACATTGAGAACTACTTACCGTCTTAAGTCCTTGGCCTGGAACTTGCACAATGTCTTTGTGTTTTGTTTTGTTTTCAGTGCTGGGAATTGAATGGGCCCAAGGCCCTGTAGCTGCTCTGCATTGTGCTCTGCCACTGAGTCACAGCCCAGGTCAACATAGCCTCTTAGATGCTGTATCAATTACTCAGAGTCAAACCAAGTCACAAGGGCAGCTCACGTCCAAGGGCTCGTGGGAAGGGGAATTATGCAATATCTCTATAACACTACCTAGGAACAAAAAGGGGCGATTGCTTCATGCATCATGCTCACAACATCAGAGATCAAAGGCATAATATAAAGGCATCATATAATGCTGGGCTGCATTACATGATCACTCACGTATTTGGGTCTTTTTTTTTTTTTTTTTGGTTTTTGGAGACAGGGTTTCTCTGTGGCTTTGGAGCGTCCTGGCACTAGCTCTGTAGACCAGGCTGGCCTTGAACTCACAGAGATCCGCCTGCCTCTGCCTCCCGAGTGCTGGGATTAAAGGCGTGCACCACCATCGCCTGGCTGGGTCTTATTTGAGATTTCTGTGTGACGGGGTGAGAGAGTGGCAAACCAGCTTCCTTGATCTGTAGCTAGGCTTTTATGCTAAAGAGGCGGTATGGAGACTCGCGATTGTCAGAGGATCCAATCACAAGTGAACGAGAACTGGAACTCAGCCCACACTTTAACCTCCAGGGAAGGAAGGCTACCTCTCACCTTGAACTTGAGACCAGCTACCAGGACCTAGTGATTTAATGTTTCATATCTGTACCCCAGAACCTCGAGACCCTATCCAGGAGGATGGGGTGCAGGAGGTGATGGGGTTGTGCATGGAGAAGGCCAGGAAGCTTCCTACCTCTGCCCAGCACCTCAAAACTGAGGAAACACCAAATAAACCCCTTTGTTTCCTATGCTTATAGCTCCAGCCTTAGAGGACTCGCAGCTAACATCACCCATGGCTCTCCTCCAGGTCACGCCTCTGGCATGTGCTAACAGTTGCCTACATTTTGGTTCAAAATTTGGAGACCACTCTCGTCTGTCTTTGGTGAGCTAGCACACTGCCCTTGACTTGTTCCTCGACAGAGGGTGATGTTTTGATGTCAGAGAGCTGAAAAGTCCACCCTTAAAGCGTACCAATGTCACTGTGTTTTGAAAATGTGGCCTCTGATGACTCATGAAGCTAGACCACACATGCACAGGCCACTCATCACCACATCTCCCCTTCCCTCCATCAGCCCTTCCCTCCATCCCTCCATCCCCCTTATCCCCATTCCCCCTTCGCTCTATCCCCCATTCCCTCCATCCTCCCTTCCCTCCATCACCCCTTCCCTCCATCCTCCCTTCCCTCCATCCTCCCTTCCCTCCATCCTCCCTTCACCCCATCACCCCTTCCCTCC